AATAAGTAAGGGACCAAACGTGCAAATTATCCCAAACCATTGGGACCATTCGTATAATTTACTCTAATCCTTGAAAAATATATTCACATATTTACCAAAGGTTTTCTTAAAACGCCGGTAACAACCACTTATACAAATTAGGGATGAGAATTTGGCCCGAAAATCCGAACCGAACCGAGAACCGAACCGAATTAGACCCGAATAAGCAATTTGATTCGGTTTTCGGGTATCTATATAAGGCTTATTCGGTTTTTGGGTTATTCGATCCGGGTTACCCGAATAAGGGCTTATTTGGTCCAAAGAACCGAACCGAATATGAAGAGTCGTTTTTTTTTCCTTGCACAATTACGTATTCGGTTCTGTGATGTGCATCTGTTCTTCAACAAGTTTTTGAGAAGTTGATTAAGTTGAAGAATCCACAAAAAGATCCTATGCTCAACTCGGAAGTCATTTTGAAGGCTAAGGTCTTAATACGAGGTCTTCAACAAAGATTTGAGAATTTTTTTTATTTCTACAAATCAAAGTTTGACAATACCGACTCTTCTCAAAATCAAACACATGGTCATGAAGATGTAGTTGTGATTGATGATGAGAATGACTTCATGGGTGATTTAATAGTACAAACTGATTACCCATCGGCATCAATGGAAACGGACTTGACACGATACCTAAACGAGCAGCCAGTTAAATACAATAAAGATTTTGATATTCTACTTTGGTGGAAACAAAATGCATCTCGTTACCCTATTGTATCCCGTATGGCGAAAGGTATAACTTTATTATTTGTATACTTTTTTTTAATTATATTTTAACATTTTCTATGTTTATGCTGATAGATATTTTGGGACTGCAAATCTCTATCGTGGTGTCAGAGGCGGCGTTTAGTACAAGCGGGCGGATATTGGATCCATATCGAACAAATTTGTCTGCAAATATAGTAGAGGCTTTGGTTTGCACTCAAGATTGGGTAAGGAAATCAAGAAAGCCAATTGTGGACAACATTAATGAAATTTTGAAAGACGATGAGGTCGCGAAAGCTTTAGAAGAGGCGATAAAGAACAGAGATGGAAAGGGAAAACAACCAATTAATATTCCCGAATAGTTAATTCGTGTTTGAAAAATGTTATTTTGGATATTAGATAAAAACTTAAGATTCATATTTTAATTTGGGTGTTGAATGTTTAATGTTTAACTTATATACTTATAGATAGATTTTTGGGTGTTTTGGATGTTTAATATATAAATTATTCCAAAAATCATGTATTGGTTAAGTACACTTTCTTCATATATCATGACCATGTGTTCATCAAATTCACCAATGAATTGAATTGGTATATGTTTGCAAGTTTTTAAACCAACAGAAGTAACACTTACTTTGTCAAATCCATCCCAAGATTTGTATAATAACTTGAATGGTTTAGCGTTACCTATGTTTATGTTAGATATGTCATGGACCACTTGATATGAGAATATGGCATCTTCCTCTGAGAATTTAAGATATGTGAATCTTCATGATAACATTTTATCAATCATGGTTTTATCTATATATCTTGAAGAGCATATACCATAACTTTATTCTCATGGTTCATCTTGAATTTTATTAACGCTATACCATAACTTGATGTTGAGAATATGGCATCTTCCTTTAAGGATTTAAGATATGTGAATCTTGGTGATAACATTTTATCATTTATGGTTTTATCTATTTATCTTGAAGAGCATATACCATAACTTTATCGTCATGGTTCATCTTGAATTTTATTAACGCAAGCTTGAGAACCAATAATTCTGATGGGTGATTTTGAGTTTGATTATTACCGTTTTTATACTATCAACTATTTTTATTTTTTCAAATGTTGCCTAGAACGTAATAAGTACTTATGGATATAATCTTCACCTTTCTTCATAGTAGTGACATTGCACAATCTTTAAGAGCATATTTCATGTAGAACTTAGGTGATCCACTAGGGCTCAGATGTGTTGACATTGATTCAGCTTTACTGTTGTTAAAAAACTACTTGTGTCATCTTTAATGGTATAATCCTTGCACAATTACACATCAAATTGGCAACATTCTATCTCATCATCCACCCCTATAGATATAGGAATGTTTAAATGAGAACAAAAACAAAAGTTGAGAACACGATAACAAATTTCGACCACATAACTTTCAACATTTCATTATATAAAAAAATAATATAATATATCAAAATTTATTATTTTTTATTCTTTATAAATGGACATCCATACCGATATTTTTTTCTTTCAAAATACAATTTCTTATTTTTTTATTTTATAAAACTCTCATCATATGTAATATCCGCATATAAATAAACTTTGTATCTTGTTTTCATTATAATACATATGATCCGCATATAAATAAACTTTGTATCTTGTTTTCATTATAATATATTGGTTATTCACATCATCACATGTAAACAAAAAAGGACTTATAATAAAAATCAGATACATAGTTTAATAACTTGTAAATAACACAAATGACGAGATTTGGTGTAAAAAAAATTTCCATTTTTATAAAAAAAAAATATTATATTCATATAAACGTCTATTTATATAGAATAAAAAAATCACAAATTTTGATGTATTCATAATTTTTTTCGAAAAAAACAACATTTTAAAATAGATGTCCGACATATTCATTATCTTGTTCCCAACCTTTATATTGTTCTCATTTGAACGTTCTCCTATAAGCATTTTGGAAAAAAAGTAAAAAACTGATACTCGAATGACCTTCCTGTATACGATTTGGGTAGATCGCTATGGGTTAATCACTGGTATTGAAAACAAGGTAATCTGTTTACTCGTATTATTTTCAAGAGTAGATTACACGAATGGTCCCTATGGTTTAGGGTAATTTGCGTGTTTGGTCCCTAACTTATTTTTTTACTCGGAAGGTCCCTACTATTTGTTTTTGTTACACGTTTGTTCCCTATCTTACCTAAAAAGACTACTTTGCCCTTGATTTTTTAATTTATTTAAATAAACACACCTCCAACCCCACCCCCTCACCTTACTTTACTTACCCCATCATTTTTCTCTATTTAAATATTAGTCTTTTTAGGTAAGACATGAACTAAGCAAGTAACAAAAACAAACATTAGGGACCAAGCGCGTAATAAAAACAAACAATGGGGCCTTTCGAATTAAAAAAATAAGTTAGGGACCAAACATGTAAATTACCCCAAACCATAGGGACTATTCATGTAATTTACTCTATTTTCAATTCGGGTATAAGGTATGAAATTTTACGGAATTGCTTAAAGAAAGCAAATATTCCCTAGGTACTTAACATCTTAACTCTCTACCCTTCCCTAAAACACACCAATAACCATATTGTTCTTGAAACGCAATTATGAGAGAACCCTAACCAAAACCCATGACAAACCCTCCCGCCTTTCGGTTATCAAGGTTTTTCAAAATCCAAACTACACATTCACCAACTTCTGTAAAATTTTAATTCTGTTTCTTATGCAATTTTAATAGTTTTAGTGGGCATCCATGATAAATTATAGAATTTTCAGTTTTTTTTTTTTTTTTTTTTTGGCATTTTTAAGGGTTTTCACTGTGGTTTTCACTTTTCAAGGCTTCGTTTCATACATCTTTCAAGTACAAAACAAGTTGATATATTAAAAAAGTTTCTATTTGATGGCATATGTTGACTATAAACATAAGCTTCTATTAATCAAATTGGTTGCCATTTTTTATTCATTTTATATGTCCACTTACACTTTCTTCTTCTTTCTAGTCCCCACGTTTCTTTGCTAAAGTGTCTTGGTTGCTTCTTTTTTTCTTAGATATGTAATTATTATTTTTCTATGTAATTAAGGTATGCGTATAAATAACCGGCCAACCCGAAATGCAATTCGATTCCGGTTTAAGCAACATTTTAAAACAGAAAATACCTGATTAACCTAAAATTCAAAAAATATACCCGAACAACAACCATGTATAGCCATAAATAAGCTAAACCAAAATTTGTATATATACTAATAATTCAATTCTTTATTTTTATACTAACATCACAAAATATTTTTTTAATGTTTTTGTATTTGTTTATATCTGTATGTGGGTCGATAAGGATCTAGTTGGAATATGTCTGGTCTAAGGGAATAAGAAAAATGATGTTAATGAATAAACGGTGGTAATAAAAGCCACCGTTGAATATGGATGGTATCTTTCATCATTTGCACGACATACACATGCATTAAAATAAAGTAATAATTACGAAAAGAAAGTTATGAGTTAACAAAATAATTTCTAGATAAACATCAGATAACAGTTATATTATTAGCAACAAGATTATCTTAAAATACCCTATCAAAATCAACGTTATTTAAGAACAAGTTGTAACAATACGAATAACGAAATAAATAGAGTGTTACAGACAAGTGAAGATTTGGTAGAGATGGATTTATTTGTGTCCAAGTACAATGTCTGATATGTGAGACATGAATGGAGAGATGATATCAAAATCAAATTAGATTTTGATTGAGTGTGAATCAGACAAAACAACATCGAGTAGAATGAATTGAAAGTTAGACATGTAACATGATTAGATAAAACATCCATGATTACTAGTAATCTTAATTAGCAAAATCCTAAATCAGTCTAAATCCTACCAACTCTTTTTCTTTAGGCATCTATGGTTATTATCACCAACTTCTAGAGGACCCCATTAGTGGGCAGCCTAGCCAATCTCATCTTTCATAGTGGCATACAATCTCACCCCACTTGTCCCCTTATCATTCACAAAGATATGTCCTTACTCCTCACTACTCCACTTGTACCCTATGCATCAACACTTGTACATTCATCACATCATCCTAAATTCTACAAAAAAAAATTATTCTTCCATTTACAATCAGGTACAATCAGGTACACAGTGACCCCCTAGTGCCTGTAAGGAGGTTAATTTATTGGAACTGAAACTATCACACTGCAGACTGCTGATATTTTTTTTTTTGTTTTGATTTTGTCAATGGTCGGTGAGTATGTAGAGAATTAGGTCAAATTAGGTTTTGGACCACAAAATGGGAGTAGGGTTTGATGGTTGAGATTTCACACAACATAGCCCACAAAGGAAAAAGGGTCAAGTGTGTTGTGGTAAGGAGGGACAAGATATGGATCTTAGCATCCAATGGACAACTTTGAGCATTAAATATTCCATAAAAAACTCATATATGTCACAACATCATTCAAGGCACTACACCCCAACTTCACCATTTTATTTTTTTACAATTTTAAAAGAATTAAAGCCAAGGAATAGCAACGTACTTTCTTAAATTTTATAGCTTCTTGCTTTCATTTCTCTTAAGCATTCAACATTAGACACTTCACCCTTTTAATAAGAAAATATAGTAATTACGTTTTTGGTCGAGTTTTTTCAATTTTGGTCCATTAAAGTTTTCTTTTGCCATTTTGGTTCTTATTTGAGGTTCTTGTAACATTTTTGGTCCCTGTTCAAGGTAAAATGACTTCCAAATTTCAAAACTCAACTATACTTAAGGACCAAAAAATATATTGTATTATGAAAAGGAAAATAGCAATATTTTATATAAAGTAAATTGAAGCATGTTAAACTATATAAAAGTAAGATGCTAAAAAAGGATGTAACTTTCTTACTTGGATTAAAACTAAAGCATGGGTGATTATGGGCACCAGATATTGATGTCTTCTAATGACCTGTCAACTCTTCAATTGTCCATACACCATTGGTTGAAAGAGGTCCCAAAAACTTTATTGAAATTCGCATGATTTCATGGACCCCACACTGCCATTTTAATTCCCGCAAATCAAAACTAAAACTAAACCGCTACTAATCTTTAGACACCTGTAACTATGTAAGAATGTATCTTTTTCCTAAAAATTGGCAAATAGATAGTAAAAGGGAAGTTAAAAAATATGGTTGTAACTGTAACCAAATAAGTGCAAAGATTGCAAAATCTTTCTTTTTTCTTGTGACTTTTTCCATGAAAAAGGAAGCTAAAAAGGCACCCTTGGGAGTCAGAAACTTTTAAAGGAGACAGTCTACACACGGATCCTTATCAAATCTCTTTAAATCCCCTCCTCTTTTCTTTATTTCTAGCCAGAAAAAAAAAATAAGAATGAGATCTTTATCATTCTTCATAAGAAGCGTTAGTTTCACAATCATGTTGCTAAGTTTCTTAGCAATTCAACTAAACCTCTGTTTTTCCAACACCCAATTTTCCCTCCCGGATTTACAAATCAACGGGCATTTCACTTTCACCAACAACGAATTTGCGGCGAAAGATTACGGAAACCAATATCAATTCCTTCCTTTTGCTGTCCTGCACCCTGAGTCAGTGTCTGACATATCTGCAACCGTGAGCCATGTGTGGGACCTCGGGCCAGGGTCTGGGCTCACGGTTGCAGCCAGGGGGCATGGACACTCGATTCAGGGTCAGGCTCAGGCGCACAGAGGGATTGTGGTGAATATGGAGTCGTTGAAGAAACCGAAAATGGAATTTGAATTTGGTTTTGATTTTGGATATGTTGATGTTTCGGGAGGGGAGTTGTGGATTAATATTTTGAAGGAGAGTTTGAAGTTTGGATTCGCGCCAAAATCTTGGACGGATTATTTGCATTTGACGGTTGGAGGGACGTTGTCGAATGCGGGGATTAGTGGTCAGGCGTTTTGGCATGGTCCTCAGATTAGTAATGTCCGCCAGCTTGAAGTTGTTACAGGTTTGTATAAAATATAAATATATAAATATATAAAAATAAAAAAATGTATAATTTATTAATATAATATTAATGATTTGGGGATAAAGGAAAGGGAGAGGTGGTGACGTGTTCTGAGGAACAGAATGCGGATCTTTTTAATGGTGTTCTTGGAGGGCTTGGGCAGTTTGGGATAATTACACGGGCAAGGATTTTACTTGAACCGGCTGCGGAAATGGTAATTTGTTTGTTTTTTGATATAATAAAAAAATGGGAAAATAAAAAAGGGTGATTTTGCGGTTTTAACGATTTATACTTTTTTTTTTTTTAAAGTTTCGTACATTTTTTCAGTCGAACCATTTTGACTTAATATGACAGGTCAAAATGGGTACTTCTGTAAATTACTAGTCAAAATGATTGATTTGGAAAAATGTTGGAAACTTTTATGGTTTAATTGGAAAAAATAAAGTAAAAGTAGTTAAATCGTAAAAATGCTGAAATATAATTTTTTTTTTTACTTGAAAAATTCAAAATGTAAAAAATTTACCAAATACTTGAATTATTTTTTGAGCAATTTTGTGGTTTGACACTTTCTTTTTTTTTTTTTTTTAGATCAGACCATAAATGTTTCAGATATTTTCTCAGTTTAAACATTTTGACCAGATATAACAGGTCAATATAGTTAATTTGGAAAATTCTCAAAAAAATTTAGGGTTCGATTGGAGAAAAAAAAAGTATTAGTGGTGTAAAACTGCAAAACTGAAAAAAATAAAATGTTTTTTTTTTTTTTTTGTAATTCTCCTTGAAAAATTCAAAATTTACCAAATATATGAATTATATATTGAGCATTTTTGTGGTTTAACAACCACTTCTAACTTTTTTTTTTTAAATCAGACCATAAATATTAGTGGCTAAACTGCAAACTGCAAAAACTATAATGTTTTTTTTTTTTTGTAATTTTCCCTAAAAAGTTAGAAATTTAAGAAAGGTTTACCTAATATTTGAAACGAATATGAACAGGTGATTTGGATCAGAGTGTTGTATTCAGATTTTTCAACATTTACTCGAGATCAAGAGCGATTAATATCCGCAAAAAAATCATTTGATTATATAGAAGGACTTGTAATTATAAACAGAACAGGTCTTCTCAATAATTGGAGATCATCTTTTAACCCAAAAGATGATGATGAAGCAAGTCAATTTAAGTCAGAAGGAAAAACCCTTTTTTGCCTCGAGTTAGCAAAATACTTCAATCCATCAGATAACACTGGTGAGATTTATGAGGTGAGATAAATGTGAACCAAATACAAACCAGTTTTGATTTTGATTTATTAAAGTTTTAGTGATTTAAATTGATACAGGAAATTGAGAGCATGTTATCTGAGTTGAGGTATATACCATCAACAGTTTTTATGACTGAAGTTACATATATAGAGTTTTTGGATAGAGTACATACAGCAGAGATAAAACTACAAGCAAAAGGGTTATGGGATGTTCCACATCCATGGCTAAATCTTCTTGTTCCAAGTAGTAAAATTCAGAGATTTGGTGATGAAGTTTTTGGGAAGATTTTAGCAGATACAAGCAATGGCCCTGTCCTTGTTTACCCCGTCAACAAATCAAAGTAACTTTTTTTAGCCCTTGTACTATTTCAGATTGGCAAATCAACCCCTCTACTTTATAAAATTACACAATGATGAATGTTGAATACGTGGAACTGGGTTATTATTATATACTTTCATCGTTTGTTTACGTATTCAAGTGGAATATGAAGGAATTGGAATGTGAGATTCAATTTTTTTTTATCGAGAGACAAAAATACCCTTATAATATAGGGTTAATCTCATAAAATACCTTATATGATCTATGTTTTTTCCTGATTTTTAAAAAGATCTTGTGTTTTTTTTTTCCAAAAAAAGCCCCCAGCTTTGTCTTTTTTTCCGAAAAAAACCCTCAACCTTCTAACTGTTTCCGAATAAACCCTCGACTTTTTTAGCTTTTCCCGAAAAAACCCTCAACCTTTTTGAAAAAAAAAATGACTAAAAGGACCGGATCGGGAAAAATGAAAAAATGTAAGGTCTTTTTCAGGAAAAATAAATAAACTTGAGGTTTAATCCGGAAAAAAACACAAGATATAAAGTCTTTTATACGATTAACCCTATAATATATACTGAAATAAATAAAAACAATTTCAATTGTATATAATTACAATTGATAAAAGGGTTAATCTCATAAAAGACCTTATATTTTGTGTTTTTTCCGGATTAAATCTCAAATTTATTTTTTTCCTGAAAAAGACCTTGTATTTTTTTAATTTTTTCCGATTTGGCCCTTATAGTCATTTTTTTCCAAAACAAATGGTAAAATGTGTGGGTTTTTTCAAGAATAACTAAAAAAGTCAGGGTTTATTTAGAAGCATTTAGAAGGTTGATGGTTTTTTTCAGAAAAAAATAAAATACAAAGTTGAAGGCTTTTCGGGAAAAAAAAATTTGAGGTTTAATCCGTAAAAAACACAAAATACAAGGTCTTTTATGAGATTAACCCTTATATATATATATATATATATATATATATATATATATATATATATAAAACTATTAATTTTTTAAAACTAATTTCACGATTTGATAGATTCAATTGCTTACAAAAACATTTAGTGAAGCGGAGGGGGTAGTTTTGCAAAGGAGAAATTGTACAGGGGGGTGAAGTGAAACTTATGTAAACTTTTTTTTTTTTTATATTTTTCAGATGGAGCAACAGGAGTTCAGCAGTAATACCAGATGAAGATATATTCTACTTAGTGGCATTTCTATCACAAGCAAATCCTTTATCCACCAAAGGAAAAGATAGTCTACAACATCTACTGAGTCAGAATAAAAAAATCTTGGATTTCTGCAAAGAAGCCCACTTAGGAGTCAAACAATATTTACCACATTTTCTCACACAAGATGAGTGGAGGGCCCACTTTGGTCAAACATGGAAGACTTTTCAACGGAGGAAAATGGCTTATGACCCATTAGCAATCCTTGCTCCTGGCCAGAGAATTTTTCAAAAGGGTATATTGGACTTATGACCAAAAATAAAAATCATAATTATTTTGAAAAGTCGAAAATGACCTTTCAAAGCAACGTGTGGTAGTGGAGGAATTTGAAAAAGAAAAAAGAAAAAAAAAATCATGACCTCCATATCATTGACTCAAATTATCACAGGAGTTGACTTGGATTTTCTTTTTCTACTTTTTTGGGAAATTAACTCTTTTTTTTGAAAAGAGTTGGAAAATTGGGAATTTGGGTCAACAGAGTTTCTTGGAAGAGTCAAAGTTCATTCTTTGAGATTAAGTGCTTCTTGATTTGAATACTAAAGTCAAAAAGGCACTTAATTGATTCTAAATTTGATGTAAATTATCTTACAAGTTATAAGAAAATCTTTTTCTTTCTGACATAGTATTGTTTATATTGTGTAATGTAGTTATATTAAGTTCTTTGACTCTTTGTAAATTTGTAATATATATATATATATATATATATATATATATATATATATCAATCTACAAGCTAAATATAGCCTTTTTAATCCGAAAGTCAAAGTCAAAGTCACAATTACAACATTGTATTTTCAATTTTTTTCTTATGAAGGCATTGTACTTTGACAAATCTCCAATCTTTAATTATTTGTCTTATTAGGATATTTATTGTTCATGTTGTTGTAGGCTTGTAGGAGTGTTTTTACACAATAAACATACTTAAAATAGTTCAAAACTAATATTAATATGTTTAAAATAATAAGATATAATGTATTAATGGACTACATCAACAATAATAAGATACTTATAAAGTTCATTGTCAAGGGTGACTTGGCATATCATGAAAATAGTGGAATTTATTTCATTAAATGCCAAAATGCCTCTCCACTTGGAATCTTTCCCTTCACTCTTTTCTAATGACTTATATCATGACTTGAATGACATTTGCATCACAATCTAGAGTGAAATTTTCACACTTTGTAGATTTTTGTTTGGCTTCTAAATCTATCAAATGATTTAGAATGTAACTGATTTCTCGATCAAGAAGCTTTTTAAGTACTTGTCAAAGTATTTAAATTACCCTTTTATTAATTTCGTGTTCATGAAACTTCTTTAAGACTATCTTTAGGTAAAAAGATAAATTTAATAACAGAAAACAAAGAAAGCAGCATAGTGCAATGTTAATAATAGGTTTCGAAAGGGTATTTCAGTCATTTATACAAATTAAAAAGGATTGGAATTAAGTTTCATGAGTTTAAGGATAGACAATTGAACTTCATCACTGGTACTACTTTCGAAATTCCAAAAGGATCACAATTCCATAGTCATTTTGCATATTAATTAGTGTGTAATCTTTAAAAAGTTGTCACTGAAAAAAAGAAAAACTTGAACAAAAAATAGGTGAAATTGGAATCTTTATAGTAATAATGATTGAGAAGTTGAACCACATAATGTTGGTGAATTGGAAACCCTTTAAATGAACTTTATGTCTTTGATTGAATAGTAGATTACTATTTACTGCAGGAAATTTCATTATGATTTTGATGAAACTCCAGTTAAAACTCTAGGGCTGGAATCAAGGAGACAGTATGCACCATAAGTGCAATATTGACATATCTACTGACAAAACATCACTGGCCTATATGGACTTGAGGAGCATCCAAAAAGGGAAGTAGCAGCTTTTTCAGATTCCAATAATGACTACCACATGGTTGAATACTTGAATGGCATATATTTGACACTAAAAGTTATATATTCTAGACTTCTAGTCAGCTTACCTTTTATTCATATATAAAAATAAAATAAAAAGTTACCTAGTATGCTCCCTACTACCTTTATCAGGATGCTAGAAGACCAATGAATCTCAAAAAATTCAGCAAAGATAATAGTCAATTAATTGATGATCAGAATATTGACATTTACCTGTAAGATAGTACTTCCCATGGGTAGACCTGACTCTAGTTTCTCTGTGACAGATATCAAGCTTCACTGGAATTTGTCATGCTTGCTGTGGTTGAATTTGGTATCAGTAAGTAACATTTATAGTCAATGAAAATTTAGGAGTTATAAACCATGAATCAAAATGAATTAAGGACCAAGAATTGATTGTTTCAGTTCAAAGCAAAATCAAGATTAGTTGCTTACAATGACTTGCAGCATATTAAGATATAAAATGTTATGTTGTAATTACAAGAAATCATCTCAAACAATGTGTATCGATGTGTTGTGTAACAGATCGAGTAAATGATGGACACTTTACTTCCGCAAATATGTATACTTCTGTAAATCAACAAATACTTGCAGTTTATGTCATTTCGATTCACGGAAGAATACCTGGAAGGTCGAGATTGTAGTTCTTCGGCCTTGAGCTGTAGCTGTTGGAAATGCATTGGAATCATATCGGCGATCGGTTTCTTTTCCTTCGCGGAAGTGAGGGTTTAGAACGAGTAGCAAACTAGCAATTGATTAAGAAAACATATTCGAAATTTCGCACTCTTCAGAAGCATATGGTGTTTCTTCTGGAATCCGCAGATTGCAATTTACACTTCGAAAACTAAGCTTCCATTCCCCAAAATGTAGATGATCGACGAGTCTACCGATGAAATGCTAGTCTTTTCCCTTCGATATATTTCAGTTTATTCACAAACGCAGGTCGAGTTTGCTTGAAAAGGATTTAAAGTTCATTTGGGGGAAGCGGCGTCGCCGCAGCGATTGGTGGCGGGCACTGTAGCACCACCTGGCAATTAGATAATGACGAGAAAAAGGATCTTAAATAATTTTATTAGAAAATAACCTGTCAATTTTCTAAGACTTTTTAGAGAACAAGTATTTCAAAAGGTAAACAAGTTTTCAAAATATAAAAAAATAATAATAATAAATCATTGTTACTTTTTTAATACATAAAATATCATTAACCGACTATCATAGGTAATAATCATGTTACTCGGTTATGAAAATGTATAAAAAAAACCATTGTTTTTTTTAGTGCATAAAAAGGTAACGAAACTTCTAAAATGTTAAAAAAAATATCATTGTTGTTTTTTTTTGTACAAAAAATATCATTGTTGCTTTTTTAGTACAAATAAACCTCATGGTAACCGGTTACTTCAGGTAAACGGAAAAATGATTTAAAAACATGACGAAGTTTTCAAAATGTTCAAAAAATACCGCACTTTTTGTTAACTTCGTTATTGTTGGATTATGTAGAACACAATCACCAGAGATCATGCACCGTCATATCAATTCACAACAGTTGTGTAATCTTTTTCGTTCCCTTACTCGATCGTTTCTTGTGATAACATGAGAAGTAAGTGGGTAATAACCTTAGTTAAACGTTCTTGTTTCCCGATCACATTATATGTCTCAAACCTAAAACATATAAATGTTATATAGATACACATATTATACATCAATGTTAGCCGTTTATTAGTGTTGTGGCACAAGAGAAACACAAAGGAGAAATGAATCTGACGTTATGCAGTGAGAATTCCTAAATGTGGATGTAGAAAGTAGGAGTTGCGTTTAATTTCCGGGACTAGTGATAGATAAATGGTCAGGAACACTCAACGTCATGTAGATGATTTGATGATGATTTGTAGTCAAAGTAGAGAGAGAATCATATGTGTTGGAGCGTTTGAACAACTTGCATCCTAATTGATGTATTCTTAGTTATGTGTTTTTCTGTGATTGTATTTAGATACAAACCGATCGAGTAAGGGAATGAAAGAGAATGTACAATTGATGTGAACGGGTATGAAGGTGAATGATCTCCGATGACCATGTTTTATATAATCCGGAAACAACGAAGTTAACAAAATGTGTTCTGAAAAAACAACAATGATATTTTTTAAACATTTTGGAAACTTCAGTGGTATTTTTTGTACTAAAATATGTATTTCGTTTTCCGTGTACAAATAATATACTTCAATGATATTTTTTGTACTAAAAAACAATGATATTTTTTGAACATTTTAAAAACTTCGTTACCTTTTTAAGTCATTTTTCCGTTTACTTAATATAACAGGTTATCATAAGGTTTTATTTAAACACATGTGTACTTCGTTGGTATTCTGTGTACAAAAAATATATTTTAATGTTATTTTTTTATATTAAAAAAAAAACAACAATGATATTTTTGAACATTTTGAAAACTCCATTACCTTTTTAAGTCATTTTCCAACTTTTTACTATCAAATATCAATAATTAATAAAAAAATGTTTCATATAATAAGTTTTTTAGAAACCGGTTTTTTGGTTGAACTTGTATGGTGATTGATTTCCAATTCAACCGATTTAAGTGGTTCGACTGCAGGGTAAACCGGTTTCTATGATTTTTATCTTTTTTTTTTTCTGTTTTCCTACACATACATACATAAATCAAGAATTTGACGTCCGCAAGTTTAAATATTAAAAATACATATAAAAACAAGTTGTAAATCAATTAAAATACATTAAAATAACACATAATCATAAGTTTTATATCAATCTACATACATTAAAAACAAAATAAAATATTATCGAAACAAAATATAGTTTTAGATAAATACAAACGCATCAAAAAACTTCATAACATTTACCATATATTTTTATTTGAAGAAATATAAATAAATGTGAAAAAAATCACAAAAATTATTATGCAAAATAGTTTTCTTTCATGTATTTTATTCAATATAGCCCGTTCAACCGGTGTAATTTAACCGGACTTTTGTAAAAATTGACCGGTTCGTTCTAGTTCAAAAATAGGCATAAAACTAGTGATAGTTGAATCACTCATTTCCCCAGTTCCCGGTCCAATCGGTTTTACCGGCCGGTTTAAACCGGTTTTTAAAACATTGTCTATAATCATATTTTTAACAAAATTTTCTTGATTAAAACGGGGTCATCTTAGACATGTTGACTATGAATATGTATGGATAGGCTGTGAAAATCTTTGGGCCAAGGGCTGATTCGGTTGGAGGGTAAAAAAAACAGGAAAAATCATTTTTCTCATTTTTACTCTACATTGTTAGAGAGCACTATAAAATTCTCTCTAAAGAAAATGGTTCGAAATGACAACACAATCGGTTAGATTTTTTTATCTCTATCTATGTTTTATTGTTTTTAGCCCGAAAATTAGTTATCATAGGATTTGGCAGGATATTTTAGTAGGTAATCGTACATTTTAGCATATGTTCATTTGCTAAATGTACAATTACATGCGAAAAATCTAGTCAAATTACCTTAGCAATTTTTCATGTTTTGATTTGGTTGCTCGTGTGTAACGAATGTTGCAATGTTATCATGGGTCAATGAATACTAAGACCAATTTTAATAAGGTAAAAGCAATCATACAGTTTAACAGGTAGAAAGCTAGAGTTATGTCGTAGCACAACGTTCAGACAGTAGACGATAGGTGAGTGTACCGTCTATCAACGGGAC